TCCTGATGGTCGTATCCAATATGAACTCATCACCGATGCCATTTGCTAATAAGGCATGACTCTCGTGTATGCCATCATGACTATAGGTTGAGTCTTCTACCATAGGGTTTTCTTTGAAATTAAACGAAAAAGGGAGGTTATTATCATCATTCTAGTCTTTAAAGTACTCTTGACTCTCTAGAGGCATGTACACTTATAGACGCTGACTAACTCTAACCTGTAAGTCTTATGAACGACTATACCTGATGCTCTGATACCACTAAATGTAAAATCCTAATCTATTCTGAATCGAAGATCACTCGATCATGATGTCATACGGGATCACCAAAGTGGCTAACCCAAAATTTTCTTTAAATTAACTGTAAAACACTGTATAAAATCCATCCCAAGCAAAATATGATAAAACGTGGTAAGTATAAGTTTACAAATCATGGGGAGCTCCCAAATCATCCAAAATAAACATATTGAGCTTAAAATCAAAATAGAGTTACATCTAACATAAATAGGGTCTATAATGGTACATGCACTCTAAACTAAATCAATACGTATTTAGTGCCTCGTGCTTGTTGGAACTAATGATGATGATAATGCTCATCGGTTGGTCTTCTATGAACCTACGCACTGAAATACATTTCAAACGTTGAGCTTACAAGCTTAGTGCCTCACTAATAAATGTACTATACTACATGAATTCACTAAATGCAAATGTTAGTGGCATAAGTATAAAGACATGAGAAATATTGATCTAACATGGTGTAGGCATCATGGTGTGGTTGAGGTTTCTGCATCTCAGAGCTCACACACCCGTCTAGCCTCTCTAAAATACCCTTGGGTATTTTGGATGAAATCTGGAGATGCACCAGAAACGTACACCCAACTAACTTACTCTGTTGACTCTTGGGGAATTTACGCCCAACTAGTGGCTATAGTGCCTTGGCACTGATTGGGATATCCAAATGACTTCGTATTTTTCTAAAGAGACTCAGGTGTCCTGGTTGTTTCATGTTTCCCGAGCGTCAAACAAGATTACTTTTATGTTATCATAGTTGTTACTATTTCTAGTTGTTCTGAGTTTATTACTATTCTTACTTGTAGTTTTATTTGTTGATATTCTAATGTTATTGGACCCCTCAAGTCAAATTCATCAACAATTGGATTACTTATCCAAAAATTTTCGATGGTACCGTTATTAGCCCTTTAGTATTGGTAATGAACCTTGAGTATCGATAACCCACCTCTTGGTATTGATACTCAATGACTATCATATACTGATTGAGAATGGAAGTATCGGTACTCCTGACTGATTATCGATACTCTAATGCTGGGTATCGATACTATTATGAGTATTTACATCGAAATTAGGATCTATATTTGAGAAAATAACTTAGTATCGATACTCCCATCAATACCGGTACAAAAAATTATCTATTGGAATTTGCTAAGTGAACTCTGTATCAATACCACCATACGATTATCGATACCCATTGAAGGAGTATCAATACTTTTGTCCCCAAAATCCCTTTTGTTTTGAACATCTGAAGAACAATATCGGTATTGTTCCTCCAGCATCATTACTTGTGCCAAAAAATACACTGTTTTAGGCAAAAAATGCTAACTTTCTACTCCAAACATCCTAATGAGGTTCTCGACTGTTGTTAAAGTCTTATGTATGAATATAGGGGTCATAAACAGTCCATAAACATGCAGAAAAACACTGATTTTTGAATTCTACCATGAACATTCTTCATAACTTATGCAACCTACCAAAACACATTTAATGACTTACATAAGGTAGAGTTAAGTTAGAAGTGAGTTACTTTGAATGTCTAAACCGCTGGAAACACTAAAGCTTCAACCAATAGTGAGCTTCTTTTTTCCTCTTGCCTTGGAGCTTTCTCTAACTTCTCTCACTAGACAAGAATTAATCACAAGTGTTACTAACGTTAATAGAGAGTTTAGGAAAGGATTTATAATGTTTCTTGAGGTTTGAATCCCTAAAAAATGAGTTAGTTTCTCTAAGTTCCTAAAATCCCCCACTAAGCCCACATTTTGGGAACCAAGGAGAAATGAAGAGGTTGTGGGCTTGATTTGAGGCTTTGAAGATGGAGATTATGAATCTTACCTTCACTAAGATGGACTAGGATTGTTGATTATCAAGTTCTAACCTTTATTCACTTCTTGGAGAGAAAGAATAGGGAGGTGGAGGAGAATGAAGAAGACAAAGAAGCGTTGAGAAAAAGAGAGAGTCAGACGTGATATCATCCCTCGTTACGGGATTTCAGCCTTTGAAAATATTGTTTTTGTACAATTACTCTCTTCGTCACTCTAGCTTTGGTTGTATTTCGAAAACATTCCCTTATCTCAATCATTGGGTTCAAACAAGCCCAAATCAATGTACACTTGGTCCAACACTTCCTAGATTATGGATTTATTCTAAGACCCACTCGGGTTAATCCAAAATTGCTAACCCAGGATTTCAGGCGTTACAACTAAGATAAACGAACAATTCTCTCACTTTATTATTTTGGTTTCGAAAACCCACTAAAACTTGGTGAAAATATTGAACAAAAAAGAAGAAAACCTTTGAAAAAAATACTATGCTTTGTATATTGCTGGCGTTTCTTGAATCGGGGAAGGATTTTTATTGCTTTCTATTCAACAAATGAAAAAAAAAATATCGAGCTCTTTTTATAATTGTTTGAGGTTTTATAATACCCGTTTGTTACAACCGAAAATGAGAATCCAATCAGAACTCCTACTTTGTTTGTATTTGTTGTGCATATCGAATACTGATGGAGCGTTTTTGGAGAAGATTCTGGAGGGGGGCCATTGTGCAAGGTCGATGTGGGCAGGGGGCCACCTTGGTTGCTGCCTGATTGCTATCGTGGACAGGGTACTAACAAAGGATGATGTGGTTAGCGGCGCTGTTTGAGAACCTAGGGTTTGATTGTAGGCTAGGTTTTCATTAATGTTTAGGCTTCTTGTGTTGGTCCATGTTTAGGTTATGGCTTTCGTAATGTGGGTGACTGGGAGTTAGTGAATGGGTATGCTTGTAAATGGGTCTGTCACATGGGTTTGTAATATTGAGTCATATGAGAATGTGAATGGGTTTTGATTTAGCAAATGTAAATGGATTGTATAGATGAACTTTAAGTGTTTGGTGAACATACTTTTGAATTTTGGGTTTTAAATGGACATTTTTAATTAAGTATTTGGTTTCTATTAAGAAAGCCTCGAGTTAAATTTTAATTTGGGTCCAGAATTCCAAAATGGACATGAATGGTTAGCTCAATTTAGCAACGACACTCAAAATGCTATTCGAATGACATTTTAAATTAATCTTCGATCACTCTCAATTCGATTTGAATTATCAGACAAAATTAGGGTATTATGTATATATTATCTTACCGGTCTCACATGGATGGTGAGTATCACATGATTTCGTTTGGCCGTAGCCATCATGACTTGGCTTCTTCGTACATGCAAATCTGTACACCAAACAGAAACAATTTCTTTTTAAAAAATAAAATAAACAAGACAAGGACATTTTCATAACTGCATTCCACAGTACAATATTTTATTGAAATAAGACTAACCACTTCGCAGTCTTCCAAAGGTGCAAACACTCCAATTAAACACCTTTGCACAATCCCTTTAACCTCAACATTCAACCGCACACGACTCCCAGCCAAGAACCCATGTTGCAATCAGGTTAAAATTTCATACAATATCAAACCCTCCACGCTTTGGTTGATAATTTTTTTTAAAAATAAAAAAATTGATAACTATATAAATAGTCACTGATAACAAAAGTTTTAAAGTTTAGTGAACAAAACAAGATAGAAGAAAGTTTAATGATGATTTCTGTAATTTACCCAAAAATATATTATATGTAGTTCAATTGTTATTTATATAAGAGCCAATGGTATTTTTGGATTTCAATATTTTTTTAAAAAAAATTAATTTTTAATATTTTTTCATTTGAAATAAAACAATGACATTAATAATTATAAAAGACAGCTTACGTTAATTTAATACATTTTTTATTTTATTTTTTGACAAATTGTTTAATTTTTTAAAAAATATTTTTAAAAAAAATAAGATTAAAATGTGTTTTAAATTGTTAAAAATATCATTAAAGTTTAATATAATTTATTAGGATTATAAAATTTTATTTTTTGAATTAAATTGAAAAATCTAATTTTATAGGTTAAATCGAGAAAGATAGTCAAATTTTGAAATTAAAAAAAAAGAGGAAATAAATTTAGAAAATTAACAAGTTAAGGGTTAAATTATGCTTGATCACTAAAGACTTAGCAACCAAGTAATTGTGTTAGTCATAATCACGAAGACGTAGTTACAGTTCATAAACTGTCTATCAATCTCTCTCTCTTTGAGGGTTTTGATTCTTACAGAGAAACCATCTTCCTCACTTGCACTCTTTGATTTCTTCAATTCGCATCAGGTTTGTTTTTTGAAGGTCTGTCCATGTTTCTTTGCTAAGAAAATAAGCTAATCAATTATGGAAACCAAAAAAAAAAAAGACTTTTCGACGATAGGATTTCCATTTAGTATTGAGAGAAAGTAAGGAATCGAATAGTTTAACACGCCACGCTTGACTTTGTGTTTCTGTTGACATTTCTATTTCCGATGTCCGGTAAAGTGTGTTGACTTGAGTTTCATGTTCTCTTTAAAGACTTCCCCCCCCCCACCCCTGTTTTTGGGTTTATTTTTTTTTGGCTGTTTCTGTTTGTTTGCTAGGAAAGTAAAATAATTTAGAAAATGGGGGTAAAGGGAAGAAATTTTCTCAACTGAATTTCCATCTAGCTTCTTGAAATATAGAAGAAAGCGTAAGTTTCGTGCCAAGCTTCGTTTACGTGTTTAATTTTCTTGTGTGGACCAAACAGTTGATTTTGACTTTACTGTTGTTTCTTTTTTTCTCGTTTCTACTTATAAACACTTTATCTAGCATTTGCCTCCACTCCTATCAATCGTTCCTTGAATATTAGTTTCGAGAAATGGTGATTTTTTCTTAGGATTCAGTAGTTTGGTTTCCATCTTATTACAAACACAGCAGTTGATTGTAAAGTCCTTGTTAGTTTTTTTCTTTCTTTCTTGATGTCTATAATCATATGTACAATTGTCACCATGATTTGCTGATTTACCAAACACATGCCTGCAGGTTTATGGCTCATTCCAAGAACAATATTCAAGAAACAATGGAAGATGGCTTTTGCTTAGTTGAAGATCCAGATGATTTGGAGGGGGATAGTGATGATGACGGTTTTTTTGTGGTATGCAATGCTTTTAGAATTTTCTCTTCTTTTTCACTCTAATTCTATTTGTGAGAACATGTCAATGCCTAATTGCTGATAGGGATATTGTGCTATTCTGTTCATTAGGCTCTGTTTAATCATTGATGATTCAAATAATGATGTGACCCTTTCTTGTTTTATATCCAACGAAAATAACTTCTTAGTCTCTGCATCTGATAGTTTAACTTTGGTTTCTCTATTATAATTTCTTCTGTGTTTGTCTAACAAACACTAAAGGAGAGGGAACTTGTTGACTGCTCTTTCTTTAATCACTTATTTGAACTTTCTGATTATCAATACGATGAAATATGTTCTTGTCTTTTAGCTCCCAATTCTCTCATGCAAATCTAAAGCTAAAAGTACTGAGGATTACGCCGAAGCCCCCAAATATGTACACAGGAAGGAAGTACCGTTAGAAGATGTTTTGAAGGATCATGCTCTTCATTTACTCCCTGCAAAAGCACTCTTCAGATTCAAAACTGTTTCCAGACGATGGGATCAGTGGATAAGCAGCCCATTGTTTGCCCACCGGCAAACTACTTACTTCAATAACATTTCCGGTCTCTTTTGTCAGGTTGCCAATTTCAATCCTTCCTTCATTTCATTCGATCAAGACGCTTGTGGCATGCCTGATCCCTCTTTGAAGTTCTTACCTGAACCTGTCTATGTCAGAACCTCTTGCAAGGGTCTGCTTTGCTGCCAGAGTGTTGGGGAAAATGTTTACTACATTTGTAACCCTGTGACCAAGGAATGGAAAAGGCTTCCTAAGCCGAACTTGTATCATGGAGACGAGGCAGCTGTTGTACTTGTTTTTGAACCCCATCTACTCAATTTTAACGAATCTTACGAGCTTGTCTGTGCTGTCACTTTTCCCCACCATCCGGTTGTCTATTTTGAGATTTACTCATCAAGATCAAGCTCCTGGAGAGTCTCTGATACCGTATGTTGCGAGTTCGATAGTTTGGAATTTCATAATGGTGGGTACTACATGGAGGGAGTTGTCTATTGGGAAGCCTCATCCAATATCATTCTAGCCTTTGATTTGAGGAATGAGCAATATGGTATTCTGCCACTTCCTGCCAATGGTGGACAATACGGAAATGGTACTTTATCCGTGTATCATGGCGAGTTGTGTTATATTCTGCCTCATTATCAGGATAATGTGTGCACCATATACATTCATGGGAATATGGATATGAGCCTGAAGTCTGTAATCAATCTTACTTATGATGCGGGGAGCAAATTCGATGTTTGCAGGGCATTGGTGTTCATTAATAATGACATTCTGATACTTGCACTTGGGACTGACATGATTTCTTATCATGTTAGAGAAGACAAGGTGGAACTGATAAGCACATTAGGAGGCGGCGCGTGGTCTACATATGTCCCGTATGTGAACAACCTTGTCTCTGTGAGGCATCCATTGATTAAAGACAAGGGCTTAATTATCTAGACAGACTCTCTCAAGATGTCTTGTAAAACTGGCCGTCCTTCACCTTTGCCAATATCATACCTTGACTTTCTATAAACCCAGATATTTGGTTTTACGATAATTTTATTAGTTTGGTCTTGAAACTGAAACTTGTTATAAAAAGCTTTTGTTAGTACAGTAGGAAACCCCCCTTCATGAATCTTTGTTGACATTGATTGAATATATGGTATAGTTTTCCATGTAAAAATCACCCCTCATGGTGTGAATTCCTCTCTCATGATGCAGAAATGGCTTGAACCATACAAGACTATGAGTGAGTAGTTGCTAGTTTTGATATTTCATCTTCCAAGTTGGTTCAACCCAACATTATATTATCCAAAATGTCTACGGTCTATGAAGAAATCAAATCATAAAAGTAAGTTTGATATATAATCTTCAAAGGTGGATTAAAATTTGAGACTTGGTTCAGTCAGTTGATACAATCTTGGAATCCTTCTATTATGTGGTCAATGATTCTATAAATGTGGGAGGCATTTTTGGTTACAAATGTTGAAATAAGCGCAGGTTTAGGAGTTTTTGCAGCTGAAGTTGATAATCTATACTGTTTGAGCCTGTTTTAGAACCAAAAGGAAAACGAAAAAAAAAGGGCTGGCAATGCCAAGAAATAGTAAAAAAAAAGAAAAAGAAATAACCAACAAAAACGAATCAAGGGTGTCAGCGAGAAAACAAGAGGATGAGAGAGAATAGATAAATAAATAAATAAAAGAGAAAAAGAGAGCCAAAATTCCTGCGTTGTAGAAAGCCACGGAGGGGAGGCAAGACAGGGTCCCCTTTCCAGAGTAGTGGCAAATTTACCCACATTTTCTCTCCCTTTCCTTTGAGAACCCTTCTTTTCTTCTTCTTTCAGGTACCTCTTTTCTCTTCTCTTTTGATTTCTGTTTTTCTTTTCATGTGTTGACATTCATAAAAAGATATTCTAACGTAGTAGGATCAAATGAACGGATTTCATCATAGAATATCAACGCTTTAACATGTAGTTCGTGTTACAAATTAGATGAAAGTTGTTAAGGAGAATGTATGACCATAATATCAGATCTTCAGTAGTTTGTGTTCCAAAATCCTGTGTTTGACCAACATAATCCTGCCATTATAACCTTGGAAATTTGGTCAGGGTTCTTCAGTTGTTTGAGCCAGGCAAAATCAGGGTGTGGGTGGAGTTTCTTGGCTGGAAAAGCTTGTAAGCTAATGCAAAAATGGCGCCATCCCCCAAGGAATCTCCTGAAGAATCCCCACCTGCTCCATCAGGATCAAATTCATCACAAGATAGCTCTTCACCATCCAAAAACTCACAATCACAATCACCATCACAATCACAATCACAATCATCGTCTCTGCCTCCCCTGCCGGAAAAAACATCTGGTCGTAAAACAGATAGTCAAGATAGTCAATCCTATCCTCCTCCTTCTCCTCCTCCTCCTCCTGCAAAGAAGAAAAGTGGAAATACTCACTCCTCTCCACGTTCTTCTAATTCTCACAAAACTAATGGCAACAAGCAAGTTGGTTCTTCTGGCAAAACACCATCCTCAAATTCATCTGAAAACGACATGGACACAGAAATCATTATAATAGCAGCTGTGTTTGTAGGATTGGTGCTCCTTTCTATGATCATCTGTATAATATGTTGCTGCTGGAAGAGGAGGAAGAAATCCAAAGAGATGTACTATGATGAATCTAAAGGTATGGAACTATGGAAACGAAAGCTACTTGCCACCTTTATAAATCTAATGAAGAGTATAAAATCAATATGCATGATATATTCTGTTGAATCTTGTATGCATCTTCTTTTGACGTAAAATTTGTGATTTGGGATCTGATGATAATTCCTTTGTATTGTGTCCTTTATAGCCGGCGGTAAAAATTATAACAACCATCAGAATTCTCCGTGGGTTCATAGTGGGAAAGTGCCAGAGCATGCTGTACATGTACCCTCACCGTCAGGAGGTGGTGGTGGCATGGGCGGTAGCTGGGGTGTACCACCACCGTTTTATAGCAGCGAAGCAAGCTCCCAGTTCTCCGGCCCACACCATCCTCCTCCTTTGCCACCTCTGTCACCAACTATGGCTCTTGGATTCAATAAGAGCACTTTCACTTATGAGGAGCTGCTTGCTGCTACAAATGGATTTTCTCAGGCCAATCTGATTGGTCAAGGTGGGTTCGGATTCGTGTATAAAGGCGTCTTACCGAACGGAAAGGAGGTTGTGATTAAAACTTTAAAAACCGGTAGCGGACAAGGAGAGAGAGAATTCCAAGATGAAGTTGAAATAATTAGCCGTGTTCACCATCTCTATCTTGTGTCACTAGTTGGATATTGCATTGCCGGTGGGCAGCGGATGTTGGTGTATGATTTTGTTCCAAATAAAACCTTGGAGTATCATCTCCATGGTAAACTATTCCTTATCCTTTTTCCTGTTGGTATTTGCACAAGGAAACATTAAAGCTTGAAGCCCTGCACCATTGGCCATCACTGTCATATATTAGCATTACCAGACCACCAAGGAAAGGATGAAAATTCGAATTGTTCCAACAAAGGCGAGAATATGTTGTCCATCACTGTCAGAAATGCTTTTTATCTTTAAATTCTTGAGGCCTAAAATCATTACGAACTTATTGCAGGAAAGGATCATCCTGTCATGGGTTTTTCCACTAGACACATGAAGATTGTAAGGTCTAAGGAGTTCCTTGTCTCCATTTCTTATCTCTCTGCCACTCCATTATTCACCAAGGTTTTCATTTCCTTATTGAATTATGAATGCAGGCCATCCTCGCATTATTCATCGCGATATCAAAGCGGCTAATATTCTGCTTGATAACAACTTTGACGCCATGGTATCTTCTTTTACAGTTAATCCAGTGTCTGCTATACACCATTGAAATTCAATTATCCAATGATAATGCTTTTATCAATTGTAGTAACCTATAGCCTATTTGATAGGTTGCTGATTTTGGATTGGGTAAGTTGTCATTTGATAACTACACTCATGTCTCGACACGGGTGACAGGAACATTCGTGTAGGGATGGAATCTATAAACTGAAATGAAGAGCTATGTTATGCATTAGTGTGTTTGAGGAGAAGAAAGATTGATTCATGCTTCGTGTCATAAAAGGAAATTGGAAAGTGGAACCCTGTTGCTAAAGGCCTCGATTTCTTTTGATCGAATATAGGTACTTGGCTCCAGAGTATGCCTCGAGCGGCAAGTTAACAGATAGATCCGATGTTTTCTCATTTGGGGTCACGCTTTTAGAACTCATAACTGGAAAACAACCAATTGATGTTACAATGGACGACAGCTTAGTAGATTGGGTCCGTAAATGTTTCTCTACAGATTCTCTGATGCATTAATCACAAAAAATTATCAGATCTTATCACAATGACTTACCAAAGTGGAGTATATTGATTTCCATACTAATTGGTTAGTTTATGAACAGGCTCGACCACTTTTGGCTCGTGCACTAGAAGATGGCAACTTTGATGAGCTGGTTGATCCGCGGTTGAGGAAGAACTACAACCATAAAGAAATGCAACGCATGATAGCCAGCGCTGCTGCAAGCATCCGACATTCGGCGAGAAAGCGCCCGAAAATGAGCCAGGTTTGCAATGATCAATGACTTGGCTTGTTAGAATGGTTTGAATGATAAAAATTGATTATGGAAAGCAGATAGCGCGTATACTGGAAGGAGACTCATCCCTGGATAGCCTGAATGAGGGAACAAAGCCAGGGCAAAGCACAATTTTTGGAGTCAGTGGAGAGTACAACAGCAGTTTATACAATGCTGACATGCAGAGGTTCAGACAATTGGCAGTTGGCAGCCAAGAATTCGAGAGCAGCGAGTACGGAACTTCCAGCGGGGACAACTCAAGAGAGATGGGACCCGGAGGGATGAGATAGGACACCAGCACGTAACCAAAAAAAATGGATGTCCCTTGTTTCCATATGTAATGGGGTAAGGGGAGGTAAGATAGTAGGCTGTCCCCAACACTAGGTTGAGAGCAGCTTTCGTAGGAGACCTCCGAATTATGAAATATCCTCCATGGAACTCGATCTCTACCTCGAAGTTAAGAACTTTGTGCTCTACTAAATGAGCTGGATGATCATTTCCAGCACTTAACCAAAAGCTTTATTTAAATACTAAAATAAAAACAAGACGGAGCAAAACAGTGTTTTGTCTGCATAACAATAATGGACAGGTCAAATGCATTATCCATTCCAGGTCACTTTATACTTTCAAATTGGATTCTTTTGTATTCAAGAGTTTTGTCTTCAATTATCGAAATCTATAGTACAGTAGCAGATTTTGCTTCTGTTAATTGTGTGTTCCTTGTGTTTTACATGATAACAACAATAAAAACTATGATAAGATATATGGTATATAAGAAATATTATTATTATAAATATTAATAAGATTGGTTCGTAATCTTACGGAATTTTATATGAAGGAAAAGTTGAAAACTTCGGCCTTTTCAATTCAATGTCTTTCGGGGTAAAATTGGACTATTAGGCCAGGCCAGTTAATTATTTAGCCCAACACGACATAGATAATTTAGGGAACTACAATATTTTTTACAGTGCACGAGTTTTATTGAAAAATATATTTTAATGTACTCAGACATTGGGTCTAGTATTATATTATATATTTTTGAAACTCATCACGTTGATATGATATGTTCAATTAAAATACTATTTTTTTAATTTATAGGCTTTTTTAAAAAATAAATTTAAAATAAATATAAACCATGAAACTCGTCATGCTGAGATGACAAATTCCATTTGGTTTTAAAAAATAGTCGTTTATAGTTGTTGGGCAACGACCATATTTTAAATTGATGGAACTCATCACGTGGGCGTGACGAGTTCCAACGATCATATTGATAATTTTTTTTTGTATAAATAGGAGTAAATTGATTTGATGAAGTTTATACGAAAAGTGGGAAAAAATATTTTGAGAATCAAATCATGTATTTGTGGGAAAACTTTTATGAAGATTTCTTGAACGATCTTTTTGGGTCTGACAACTCAGACTCCGATGGTTCGAATTCAAGCTCGTCTTCAGAAGTGAAGTGGGTAAAAGAGACAATAAATTCGATACTTGATGAACATAATAAGAGAATAAGGAGATGAAAATAGAGAAGAAGAAGAAGTATGAAAACTTACCAATCTGATGTAGCAAACAACTTATAGAAAGGAATGAAAAAAATAATAGCATGGAAATTGAAGAGAAGAATGTGTAAAGTTGATTTTTATGTAATAAAGTAACATTTTTTTAGTTAATTATGAATAGTTTACAATTATATATGAAAAGTTAAAAATAAATATGTTTAAGGATGTTAAAAAATTATCCAAAAAAAGAAGTTAAAGATAAAAAAATAGAGAATTACAAAAAGGGGGTAAGAAAAGGCACCCCAAACAACATGGGAATAGAATTACGAAGTTTTATCAGTCAGGTCGATATTTAAGAAGATGTGGACAATGCTTTTTGTTGTGGCATTCAACTCTGAAGTGACCACAAAATTTTGGTAGACCTTGCTCTCGTTGAGGACCATTCGTATCAGTTTGAATTTGACTAGATTCGGGTCAATCCTTCAACTTTCTACGTAATTATGGATTTGACAACCATTCTTCAGAAATAGTTGGTGACCAATAAGCATCATTTGAGAGATACTTAAACTCACAATTGTATATGTTGTGCATAGTATCCAGGATCTAACTATCATCAGCATAAGAGTATGGGTCAACATTAACAAAAATACATACAATGACAGTGTGAGCGCATGGGTATCTAAAAGCTTGAAATTGACCACAATCATACCATCTTCTATTGAGATTATCAATGTATGTGGTAGAATTATCACCCTCATGTGGTCGAACAAGTGCTTGGACAACGTAACCAGAATCAAGTCTAGTGAAATTATGAACAAACATAGATGTTACACGTGTTTGATTTTTGTTCATTGTCTTCTTCAAATCTGGAGCACAAATTCTCCCATTGTTGATCATGGCATTTATTTGTGCACCTTTGTATTCCCAAACTTTACCTAAGTAAGTCTCTATAACATTATCGCTACCGGAATATATTGAGTCCTTCTAAGCACTGAGTTGATACATTCGGCAAGATTGATTGTCCTATAGTCGTATCGTCAACCCTGATCATCATATACCTATGACCATCTTTCATGAGGTATTTCAACTGCAAATTTATAAATAACTTCTCTATATTTTCTCAAATTTTATAACCTTGCACGGAAGTTTGGTTGTAGTAAAGCATATCTTGAAAAAAAAATTGGATTTAAGAATAATAAATGAAGAACATAAATGAAGCATATATCATGAACGAAAAAAAAACATAGAAATTACCCATGTTGATAATCTCTTTTTGATCCTTTTGTTCTTAAATCTTGTCATATCATTATAGGAAATATGACGTATACAACATGTTGAATATGCGTGGGGAGGCAACTACCTACTTCACGATCTAGAAATCGTCACTTGCAATCTAACTGAACGATCTGATATCATGCAAACCCTATCTTGAGTGACAAAATAAGGAACACAAGTTGGAGAGAAAGAAATTTCAAGTTTCCTCTAACTCATTTTTAACAATGGTTAAGGTAATGGGAAAAATATTTTTATCACCATCTTGTGCAACAGCTATCATCAGGACGTGTTTTTATACCCCACACAGAAAAGTCTCATCAACTTGAACCATTTGTTTACAAAAGTGAGACTCTTCAATAGACTACTTGAAAGCCCAGAACATGCCACCAAAAATTCTCTTCCATGGGATAACTTCTCAATAAATCATAGTCGCAGGATGAGTATAATATCGTACAATGGTAGCTCATATGACTTATCCCAATCATCGTACAACAATGTCATTGCTTTCTTTTTCACCGTCCACGACTTATAGTAAGATGAAATATAACCAAATGTATTCAGAATGGATACCACTATTACTGAAACTAGGATCCTTGGATTTTTTTCGACCAGAAGCTTGACATATGAGCATATGACATCAAAATCCAAATGTTTGTGGTATTGTGTCAATGAGCTCAATGTACATGTGTGATGGCCGTTGAACATTGTCACTTCTCACAACATATTTTGTTGTAAGTATGAAACTCGTATCCTCCACTTACAGTCGAAATTATGGTTTATACACCTAATGAAATATGTTTTTTGATCAGATTCCACCACATAGAATTCGATATGGACATTGATACAATACTCCTTGACTACTAGTTGTGCATCTTGTTTAGTTTCAAATTGGGACCCAACTGCCAACTCTCGACTTGTCATCGAAGTTACCCCAGTGGGCAGAACATATATTCGATATATTAGAAATCTCAGGATTCCTCATGGCATTATAATTAATGTCGTGCATTGCAATTGGATAATGATGGTGAAGCATTTGGGGTTGTGGCGGTATTGGTGAATGGGCTCAACCCCTTGGAGCATTCTGAAATTCCTGACCCCGTGAAATTGTTGCCTCCTATACATCACCTTAAAAATCAAAACCTTTTTCCCTTTGAAGTAGCCTGGACGATATCAGAATCATCAAGTATTGGTGTGTCATCATCTTCCATAACTGGAATGATAGTTTCATTATCCTTGCTAAACTCAGTAAGGCTTTCACCGAATTACCGAACAAGGTTATCATATACACCACTTTCATACGATATAGATGATCGTGGTTCTTCAGCGATGGGTGTATCTATGTGAGTGGATTCTCTGAGATTATGTGTCGATAACTTAAATATGAAACATAAGTTCCAAGTTTTCTTTCAATTTTCTCCTTCATTTGGTGATGAGATATATCTACAGAGAACATCATGTCTATGGGTCTCTGAGAAGTAAACACAACACCATCATCAATTTGTATAATTTAGCCATTGGAGTGAACAACTCTGAAAATTTTGTTAGTAATTGTTTGAGAAAATGTTTTGCTACTTCAATGAAGTTGTCAAAAGTAGCATTTTTGTGAAGATTCAGAACATAAGTCAATTTAAAAGAAAAACATCCTTTCTTAGTAACCATTTAATGAACAATGAAAATAACTTTCAGTGCCCAATCACATCATTTCTGAACCGTTTCAGTGATATCACTTCTTCAATGATATATTAGACCATTGAATGATGTTTTTGACAATTTTTGATGAAAATGGTCATTTCTCAATGACCATTTAATGAACAATGACAATAACTCTCCAGTGCCTAATCACATCATTTCTAAACTTTTCAGTGATATATCACTTCAAATCAATGATATATTAGACCATTGAATGATATTTCTGACCATTTTTTGTAACACCCTAAACTCAAATGGACCAAAAGTGTCACATTGGGCCATCGAGGCAACCTCTGAATTTCAAACCTATTTATTTTCATCTCAAACATATTGAATGGTATCATAAAAGACATAAATAACAATTATTAAACATTTTACAAACCGGAGCTCCGTGATACAAAATTTAAAATCAAAACACTACATCTTAGAGTTGATAAACCAAATACATGACTAAGGTCGTATGAATACATATGCCCACTAAAGTTATAGTATAATTCTCTGATGAAAATGTTGGAAGTCCTGCTGTGACGGTGCTCCACGATCGGCTCTGGCTACAAAATGTTAGCATCCGCAACATTTATATATAAATGCCACAAAATGTTAACATTCACGACGTTTATAGGTATGCGCCGCAATATGCATGAACCTATAGTGGCGTTTTTGTTAAAAACACCGTAATAGACTTATATAAAGTGGTGTTTTCGGAGAAACGCCACTATAGATTAGTACTTTCATGCCGTTTAGTGGCGTTTTAAGTTGAACGCCGCAATTGTGTGGTACTTTAGTGGCGTTTGTTTTTACAAATGTCGCAATTGTTCACTCATTTA